GAGCTGGCTTTTTGGAACCTTTTGGAAAATGCTGAGATGTTTTGCTCAGCCTTGGTGCAGGGAGGAGGGGACTGGACCTGCCTCAACTGAATCTACCAGGCTGAGTTGAATCCCCAGGAGAGACCTTGCCTTGGAGGAGGTGGGAATGGGGGGTGGATTGGGGGGGAAGGCTAGGGGACGGGAGGAGGGAGGACAGGGAATCTGTGGCTGATATGTAAAATTAAATTAATTATAAAATAAAATAATAATTAAAAAAGAATTATTTTGGAAAAAATTAACAACTACTTCAATATATCAAACTGAATGGCTAGTTGAAGCTCACTGCTTATTAAAAAGTATATTATAATTTATGTGAATATTTAGAGTTTAATTGTACCTGTTTAATTACAGCTTCTCACCAGAATATTCTGTCTTCCAAACTCAAAGCCATCTATTGGTTTCATTGTAATAATTCTATTAAAGTAATCTGTTTATCAGGTGAGCAACTTATACAGGGTGTAGGTAAGCAATGAGAAATACTTATTTTCAAATAACACACAATGGAATATGAGGTAGGAAGGAGTGTGGGTGGGTGGGCTTAGGGACAGAAATATCAGTTTGAATTCAGTCTCTGACACTTGTAAATAATGATGAATGCTAATTTCTTGAATGTCTCCTCATTTGCAAATGGCCTCTTCAATTTCCAGTGGAAAACCAATGAGGGAAATCTGCTTGACACTCATGGTGTTGCATGGTCACAGCTCTCCATCTTACAGAAAAGCGCTGACACACGTTTCAGGGATACAGAAGTGTCACATAAGTGCACAGCATATAAGTACACTTATCTATGTATACAGAAACATAATTTCAACTTTCTAAGAAAGAATCCCAAAACCTGTGTATAGTTCTCCTGCTGCATGTGTCCCACCCTGGACTTCTATCCCCTGTTCACCAGATTATGCCAGTGTTCTAAAGGCAGTCGGCAGGGCAAAGCCTGAGACAGATAGCTCTCAGCTGCAGCAGCTCCAATGGCTTGAGGTTAGCGTTGCTCTGCCTACTACAGTTTGGACCAATTACTGTCTTCATACCTACTCTATAGCTCTTTTGGCCTAGAACCCTGAGTGGGGCAATAGTTCTGTTTGCCTTTGAAGCACTCAGGCACTGTTCTTTGGGTCTGGCTTCAGAAGGGCACCTTGGCTATCTCAGCTGGAGATTCCCTTGGTGGACTCCTTAGCTTCTGCCTGTCTCTGTGGCCTCTCCTCTTCCTCTCTCTCCAGATTTAGGGATACTGCCTTTCCTGCTTCTTTAAGTCGGGGGAGATTAAAAACATCTCTTGTGTTTGTTTTGTGCAAAATAGATTCCTGCATCTCAAATTCTCGAAACATCTAAATTACTTAAGGGTTTAGAGTTTTGAAAAAACCATGCCTAGGAGCAAATGGCAGGACGTCCTTCATTTCTCCATGCTTTTGAAGTCAAGTGTGAGGGAGCAGAAGGTTGGGTGAGTGACTCACACCAGTAATCCCAGCATTCTGAAGGCTGAGGACAGCTTGATCCATATAGTGAGTTCCAGAAACAAAGGAAACACATAGCAAGACCTTTCAAACAAACAAACAAACAAACAAACAAACAAACAAACAAACTCAAAACCCAAATAACAATAACAAAGAAGTGGAGAAGCAAAGGAAACAATATATTAGGAAAAATTGTGTTGATCATCAAATTTTAATCTTATGCTTGATCCTTGCTAACTTGGTATCTATTGGCATTAAATATCATTAATATGCATATCATTGAGAATTTCATTCTTCTACATATTAAAGACAGGGTTTCTCTGTGTAGCCCTGGCTATCCTGGAACTTGCTCTGTAGACCAGCATGGTCTCAAACTCAGATATCTGCCTGTCTCTGCCTCCCAAGTGCTGGGATTAAAGGCATGTTTTTTTTTTTTTTTTTTTTAAAACAGAAGAATTATCTAATTATCTTGAGAGGAGTTACAAAAGACAATTTAGCTACCAAAGAATTTGGACTTTGAGAGGAGATAAAAATCTATAAATAGGGGGAAAGTTGACATAAAGAAATATGAATTAATACATTGTAAACTGAACAAGAGGTAGTATCTCTGGGATTTTACTGTAAGAGGAATAATGATCTATATAGTTTGACAAGCTTTCTGGAGGCTTTATTTGAAATTTTCTATTCTTTTTTGCTTCATCTTAGAATTAATGTATAAAGGGCTACATTGGATTTTGCTGATACCAGTAAGACAATAGACAGCTTCTCAATAAGTTCCATCTGGAGAGATCACCGTGAGCTTTAAGCAAAATGAGAAAATGTGGTAATTTATCTAGGGTTACCTGGCACTGAGGCACACACATAATTTAGTGGAAGAAGAAGATGCAGGGCTCAGATAGACTAATGATACAATTGTAAATGTGAGATGCCAAAGGAAGTTCCTGGCGGCAATGGTGTGATTGCAAGTAAAGACAAGAAGCCTGTGGAAGTCAGGGCTTTCTAGATTTATTAAGGAGTAGGTGATATTTTGGGTGTTTGAAAGTTTGCCAATTAGATTCCTGAACAACTTCATGTGGTAAATACTCTTGTCCTCATTTTATAGATGAGGCAACTGAGTCACAGAATTAGTTAACTGAGTCTCAGAGAGAAAGGCAAGGAAGATAGGATTTGAATTTGGGTGGCCTGGCTTTATAACTCAAATTATTGACAGGTAGTACTTAAGCAATTGCAGAGCAGATGAAAATAACCCAGAACAGAGTGGATCTTGCTGATAAGGAAGAAGAAACAAAGTGCTGGCCTTTGGGTTTGATCCTGGCAAAGCATAAAAATTGTTGCAATCATGGTCCAAATAGTAAAACATTAGGGAGGTTTCTGCATTATTAGGTTATTTGATATGTCATGAAACAGGTATACACATTTTCAATTTATGGTAATTTATTTTAGACATGGATTTGGGAAGCTTTGATTATTTTGTTATTTTTTCCTACTAATAATCACTCTCAACTTCCTGAAATTCAGTCCTGTTTTGTAGATTTGTTTTCCCCTTTTTTCTTTCTTAATTTCTTTTCTCTTCTCTTTCTTCCTTTTTTTTTTTTTTTTTTTTTAAAACACAAATCCTTTCTATCCAGTCCTGGGTGATCTGGAACTTACTATTCAGACCAGGCTAGCTTCAATTTCACACAGATTCCCCTCTTTCTGCTTCTTGAGCGCTATAAAAAAAAATGCAGACCACCATGCCAGATCTTCAGTGGCTTTTGGTTGTTTTTTTTTTTTTTTTTTTTTTTGGTTTTTCGAGACAGGGTTTCTCTGTATAGCTTTGCGCCTCTCCTGGAACTCACTTGGTAGCCCAGGCTGGCCTCGAACTCACAGAGATCCGCCTGGCTCTGCCTCCCGAGTGCTGGGATTAAAGGTGGTTTTTTTTTTTTTTTTTTTTTGGAAGAAAAGTTCCTATAATCCAGGAAATGTTTTAGAAAAAAATGAAGCATAATGTTTTCATCCTGTGTCTTTGTATTTATTGATACTGTTTAATTTTGTCATTCTTGGCTGTCTTAGGGTTTCTTTTGCTGTGAAGAAATACCATGATCATGGCAACTCTTATAAATGAAAAGCATTTCATTGGAGTGGCTTCTATTATCAGAAATTTTGTCCATTATCATCATGGTGCTACATGGTGATGTGCAGGCAGACATAGTGCTGGAGGAGTAGCCAAGTTTTCTAGATCTTGGCTTGCAGGCAGCAGGAAGTTGTCTGAGACCCTGGGTGTGGCTTGAGCATATATGAGACCCCAAAGCCTGCCTCCACAGTAACACACTTCCCCCAACAAGATCACATCTACTCCAACAAGGCCACACCAACTAATAGTGCCGCTCCTTTTGGGGGCCATTTTCTTTCAAACCACCACACTGGCCATTAATTTTTGTTTCTTCTGTTAACTACTTTGTTGACAGGGTATAATTTGATAATAAATTATCTTCAGAAGATTTTCAGGAGTTAACTGGCAAGGGACATTGTCTTAGTTACTGTTCTATTATGCTGACAAAACACCATGACCAAGGCAATTTATAGAAGAAAGCATGTAATGGGTTGCTTACAGTTTCAGAGGATGAGTCCATGGCCATCATGGCAGGGAACATGACAGCAGGCATGCAGGCAGATTTTTTCCTGGAGCAGTAACTGAGAGTTCATACCTGATCCATAAACACAAGGCAAAGAAGGAACCAAGTGTGAATGGCTTGGGGTTTTGAAACCTCAAAGCCCACCCTCAGTGACACACCTCCTCCAACAAGGCCACATCTCCTAATCTGTTTCAAACAGTTCCCCCAGCTCTGGACCAAGCATTCAAATGTGAGTCTGGTGGTGGGGGGCATTCTCATTCAAAATACTATAAACACCTTGCCATGCATCTCGACTGTGAGTTTTGAGGTGAGTACATTCTGACTGTTCTTTGATTTCATTTTGCTGAACTTTAAATGATTGGCAGCAACATTTGGAATTTCCTGTAATGACATTCTAATAATAGTAGTTTCAAGTCACTTTAATAAAAAAGATTCATTGAGTGCTTGAAATTGGTTATTTTGATACTGGAGGATATCAGGTACATGTTTTTCAAGATGCACTTGCAGTGGAATTTCCTTTGTTAAGGTGACCCACTTCTGAGGCTTTTCTAAAAATCCATACCACTTTGGACTGTCACTTTTTAAAACGTGCATCGTTCAGCGTGTCTTTAATTGCCTAAGAGTGATATAAAAGAATACACAGTGGTTCATTAGTATTGACAGAATGACTGCAATTGTCCAAAGGGTTGAAGAGCACAATAAGAATTGCTTTAATATGAATAAATGTTGAAAGGCTTTAAAGATGCTTTAAATGCCTTAATTATAAAATAATGCATAACTGGGTTTTTTACCTTTAAGAATCATCATCACTATTGTTATTACTATTATTACTATTATTACTATGAGACTCTGTGCAGAGAAGGTGCTACCGGTGTTTGTTCTGTTTCTTTGACAGGTATGGGATGACTCATCCCTCACGGGTTTGAGTTGGCCCAAACAAGTAAAAAAGATACTTTCTGAGAACCATCCTGGGTCTGCCTGATGGTTTTAGCAACAGCAGCTGAAACATGATCTGGAGATGACCTGGACCAATGAGAGGCAGCCATGTTACACCAGCAGATGCATATTCATCAGACCTCCCCCCAGGGTGGGGTAGAGGGTATATAAGGATTGCCTCTTCCTGAATAAACTGAGCTTGTTGTTTGGACATTCTCCTGGAGTCTGTGTGGTTTGACTCTGTGCCTACTTGGCCCCCGCCCCCAAAGGGAACAACAGCAAGGACCCTGCAGCAGACAGGTGGAGTTAAGAATTCAATAAAAGTGGAATGAATTACATTGCAAATGAATTGGGAACTTGTGAATTAAATAGAGAATTATAAGTAGGGCAAAGGCAGACTACTACAAGCTCTGACAAATAACAGAATTTCACTCGTGACATCTGGATTTTAATTGTGCATTTTTCTCAATGTGCCTTTTAGGTTATGTTACACAGCTGTCAGGAAAGCTCCTTGTTGGCCACATGGTGGCATCCTTGCAGTTATGATGGTATTTAAAAGCTAACTGCAAGCTGGAGAAGGGAATTCTTGACACATCCCATTAAATGCTCATCTTCAGATGAAGTGTACATGAAGCATTATGCAATTGACCTATAAAGGTATGACAAAACGTTAAATATGCGTTTTCCCTGTGAAAAATCTAAGAATAAATCCGAGTTTAAGAACAACTCTTCCATTCATAATGAGTCTGCTTGCCTCTGAAGCAGAAGGATTTTCCAATCAAGGGCAAACAGTGACTAAAAATAAGAGTGGGTACCAAGAGTTAGTTATTCAAGTAATTAGAAATGGCATGCTGATGTACAGTCATTAAATTTTAATAAATGTTATTTCTCATGACTATGAGAGGCTTGTGGTCTTAAGCTGCTTCCTCTGACTCGTCTGAAGTTCCTATAATCAAGATGAATTAGATCAGCTTTCATTTGGAGCAGCGTTTTCTTCCTGTTTCATGCATGCTTTTATGCTTTTTCTTTTTTTTGCTCAGACTGTATAGTGCTTAGAGTGAAGATTGGACCCAGGCTTATCCTTGGTGAGGCTGAAATTCTAAAAGTCTCTAGAGTTCATGCTCCTGGATCATCATCACCATGCATTCACATTGAGATCAAGGTGAGGTACAGATGTGGATCTTAGCATCTCTGGGTTCTTAAACAATGCCATTGTCTCTCATGTTAGACCCTCCATTCATTGTGGAAGACTAGAAACTGGTTATTTTTATCCACGAACCTTTCATTTCTATTTCCCTACTTTGTACTAAAAGTGATTGAAAACATCACCTTTTAGTTGAATAAAGGGGAAGTATTTTAAAAGATAGGATAAATAGAAAATTCTTAGGAAAACATAGATAGTTGTTTTCTTTGGAAAAAATAAAATTCCATTGTTGGCAAAGGATTATTCATTCTGCTTTGCTTCTTGGTTGATACATTTGCATATTTAAAAATCTCTCAGGGAAGGTGTGGAATTAAAAATTACAGATATTAGATAGCCTAGATATATGACCCAGCTAAAATATATCTGTATTCAGTATTCTGCATAATTAATACTTTGTAGCAGTTTATTTGGCCTTAAAATTTAAAGTGTTAGAACTTGAACGTAATTAATCTTTTGTGTTCTGCTTACCTATGTTAACAACATATTAGAAAATATGAGTTAAATACTTAGGTTCTAGTAACTCTTAAGGTTATATCCTTCACGTTCACAAATAAGTTGTTTTACTCATTTGTATTTTATCCAGAAGGTAACTAAAAGAGGTAAACACATCAATTAAGAAAGCACAAGGATTTGAGAGAATTAAATGGATTCTGGTGCCATTGCTTTCCCAAGAGGATCTCCAAGGAACTGCCTGGTCAGCATCAGTCTGTGACTGTGGGCCCAGCAGAGACTCTGTTGAGCAGACACAGAAGAAACTTAGAAATGGAACATGAATTTTATGTAAGGGAAAAGGAAAGCTCTTTGCTGTTTATCTCAGCAGTTTTCTGGAGACCAAATGCTACACTTTATCCCCACGAAGTACATGAAAGCAAGTTGGTTGTAACTTGTAGCTGTCAGTCGGCTTTCAGAGTAGAATCCATGACTCTACAGTTTCATGCCTAATGTTTTTTGTTTTTATCACTGTCAGAATAAGCATATAGTCTCATGCTTAAACATGAATCAGAAGTGTGCATTCCTCTTTAAATCATATAAACAAAACTTGAAGATTCAGTGGTGTTGCATGTAATTTAAGACCGTGTGGACACATGAATTAGTTAATTCTGTAGTGTCTAATTGCCTAGCCAAACTGTAATTTTGAATATGTTCTTTGGGTAAGGAAAATAGGTTAGTTATTGGGATTATAATATTCTTCACACACCTGTAAAAAAGTATTTTTTGACTTCTGTGTATAAAATAGTTACCTTGTACTCCATAATGGCAATGTTGTGCCAGTTTTAATCCAATCCATAAGCATAGTAGGGAATCACAACTATCTTTCATATTTTTTTTTCTGGCATTAAGAAACGATAATCCTGGGATCTATAGGATGATGACTCAGTGCATATGGTGCTTGCCACCAACTCTGAAGGCCTGAGTCCACCAGAGGAACTCACATGGAGGAAGGAGAGAACTGACTCCTGCACACATGTGCTATGGCATACAGATACTCCTGTGCATGCGCTTGTGTGTGCACATGTGCACAAACACACATACACACACAAATAATACACAAAAATAAAATAAAATTTAAAAATGATAATGATCTCAATTGTGTCTTTAAACTCTATTTCAAAAGTCTCATCAATTTCACTTATAAGCAGACCTAAATTTGACAACAATCCTCCAAATTTATCAAAGTATCCATGAGCAGAGAGGCTAAAGAATTAGGCACAGAACACTTTCTTCCTTACCAAGTTGAGCCCTCTACTTTTTAGTATTTATTCACAAAAATGAAGCTGCTTTAAGTTGGAGATAGCAACAGAATTCTAACATATCAGCTTAATGAATATTCTACTGTGAATTTTATGGTTAAAGAAACTAAGACAAACAATGTTATTCTTCTTCTATGGCAAAGGAAGCATCATTGAAAACACCTTAACTACATTTTTGGGTATCTGGCGTGGAGTTTGGCGGAAGCAATATTGGGATCGGGAGTTGATAGGAGAGGACATGTTATGATGACTAACTACCACAACGTGGTATTTTCAAATGCATTTCTTTGTGCCATTAGTATTTTGCTGTTACTTATATATGTATTGTCGATTTTTATTGATACTAGCTTTATGACTTACGCTATTTACTTAAATTAATGTAAAGTATTCATAGAGATAAGCTTTATCCCAGGAGACAATAGGTACAAATAAGAGTGATGGATCAAAAAACCAGTTCAGAAGCAGACAGGTGACACTGGCTGAACATCAGAGGAATCTAACACTGACAAAGTAATGGATGACAGTTGACAACCTAAAGATATCTTTTAAGGTAAGTTTTTTTTGTTTGTTTTTTGTTTTTTTTCTTTTTGGCATAAGGACTCCAATAATGGCTTTTAATTCTACTCAAAGGTTTTTGGAATTTAGGTCTATTTCTGTAATGACATCGATCTTAACCTTGGTGCACATGTGATCTTTAAAAAAATCCCAGCTGATAAAATCTGCTGGAGGATACCCAATCATTTGCGGCAGGTGCTGTGAGAGGCCTCCCTAGAGAGGAAGTATCCCACTGTTTCAAGTGAGGCAGCAGAAACATTAGAAACCAGTAAGCCAAGGTCATTCAGTGTGACCCAGTAATGCTGCTGGCCTAGAGGCCTCAGCTCTTTTAATCTTCTCTCTGTGTGTATTGGAAAAGTGGAGAAGATAAAAAGATGTTAAAGAAAATATAACTCTTTGGTCAGTTCAATCAAGGGCAGCCCGAAAATGGAGCTAAAATAAGAGAGGTAGCGTCCTCATCCAGGCATTGTACCCTAGACAGCTGTGTGCAGTCAGCTTATGCAACCTTGGCTCTCTGCTGCACTTATAATTGAAGTTCATCTTTATGAGATTTCAGCAGAGCATGGTCAAAGAGGCTGGTCATTAAAGGCAGGAAGCACAGCAACCTTAGTAAATATAGTAGGAAGGGATGCAATTTGCTTTAGCAAGGTGTTAAGATGAGAGCTTTTGAAATTTATCTTAATTTAGCCTTGGAAAGAAAGACATGACCTTCGTCCTTCATCTTTGTGTGGAGTTGCGTTTTGATATACTTGCTCTTCATGCTAAGGGAGACAACTGGCTTCCTCTAAATGAGTTTGTGTTCTTTTGCTTTCTTTGTGAATTCTATTTTAGTAGCTTTAGGGATGGACCATAAAACCTATGCCACATTGAAATTCCAGCAACCCAAAAGGAAACTATTTCTTTTACTGAAAAGGCACTTATTTATAAACTTCAAGGTCATTCGGATATTATTTTTCATACTAATTCATAGAGTTTATTGCTTTTACTCCTTAGATAGTAACATTATCCAAATTTTAATAAAAAAAACCCAGTGGATCATTAGTTAAATAAACATGAAATACTGTGTGCCTTTGCAATAGCTAGATTTTAAAGAACCCCAGAACTAGAGAAAAAGCAGCTTGAAAAGCTGAATAGCAAAATGATGGGCAGTGGGTAGACTTGCAGAGGCAGGCGGTGTGTACTGGGAATGGTTCTACTGAGTACTCAGAAGAGGAAATTTTAGCACTGCTTCTCTAGGAAATAAAGATAGTATGAGAAAAGGGGAGAGCCTGTCAGATAAGAAGGGTTCCTTTCCTTCAGCTTTAAAAAAATTAGTCAACTAATAAAATCATTTCTTCAAGTTACACTTAAACAGAGAACTACCTTTATTTTACTGATTATGAATATGTGTGTAGGGGATAGGCACATGTGTGCAAGTTAGAGCTCTCATCCCACTATGGGTTCCAGGGAACACACCCAGATTGTCAGGCTTCAGTGGGAAGCACTGTTACCCACTCCACCATTTCTCAGGCCCTTCTTTATCCTTAAAAACGGTCTATGTCCTTTCTTTTTCCTCCTCTTCTCATTTTCTTCCCTTTTTCTCTCTCTCCTTCCTCTCTTCCTTTTTCTTCCTTCTATTTCTTGTGACTATCCTAGACCATGACTCTAGAAAGAACAGTGCTTCCTTACTCTTCTTCTCCAAAGCTCTGGGATTTTTCTTAATTTTGGATTACTTCTTTGATGCCCTCCTCCTCTTTCCTAATGTCCATATGTTGGACTTCTGAGTTAGGCTGAAGTGCACAACTGGAAGTTATAATGGTCTTTGGGACCAGTGGTGACCAAATGAAGATGAGTAGAGTTGGAGTAAAGTACAGATACTCTGTCTTGATGCCGAGACGTTTAAGTAGCTGAGCATAGGCCATTTTTAGCTATGTATTTGTAGTTTTTTCCATTCATAAACTACCCTTCCTCATATCCCCCTTTCCCATGGTATGCTTATAGATATGTAAATGAGGCAGACTCACTGCAAAGTGAATACAAAGACTAATGAAGTGAAGTGATTGCTTCCAATGATCCAAGGATTGCTGAAAACCAGCACAATAAGGAAGAGCCAAGGGACACCTCCAGCAGTGTACCCTTATAGTCTCCTGAAGGTGAGATTTTGCCTACACTGTATACCCTGGCCTTTGGCCCCAGGACTGTGAAAGAATATGATTCTGTTGAGTCCACTGTGGAAGCCATAGGAAATGTCTATAAGTCTTGTTACAGAGAAGTAGTGTATACTGTAGCAAATGCTTGCAGACCTGGAAGTGGTTTTACTGTTGATGGAAGGTTAGAGGTGTGAAGAATTTCAAGACCCATGATAGGAAAAGTCTAGGCTCTAGTAAGCACCAAGAAGGAAGAGCTGAGTGCAGTGGACAGTTTTCATTGCCTCAGAGGACTGGAATGCCTTGGATAGAAGTTTATGCGAAGTGCTCCAAAGGACACCGGGAGCTTGTTTCAGTGATGCTTGGTACTGTAAGAGAAAGAAAAACACGATTGGACTGTGATGTACAGTCATATAGAAAATTCAGCGTATGAGCAATAGAATTAGATATTTAGCTGACAAGATAACAAACAAACCTTTAAGGTGTGGCTTTACTTCTTTTAAATTACAGGAAAGATCAGGGGAAAACGTAAGTTGGGGAATGAACTGTTCCGCCAAAAGAAAGTTGCTTTGGTGATCCAGCACATTTGTAGCTTACCCAAACTGCAAAACCTACTTCTCATAGAAGGTTCACTACTAGAAGCATGACTTAAAGCCAGTGAAATAGTTCCTGCTTCCCTGAAAACTTTCTTAGGGTGTGTGACCTCTTTGTTCCTCCAATTTCTATACCTTGGACTAAGAATGTATGTAACAGTTATCCTACGACTTTCTCATCACTTTCTATTGAGAATGGATGCTTTATACTCTATTGTCATAAGTCCATGGATGGAAAATACTTTTTGCAGGATGAATCATGGTTAAATTTTCAACCGTACCTGATTGAGATGAGATTTATGTCATTTGAGCTCAGAAAAATTAGATGAGACTTTGTATTGATATATAACAGAGAGACATTTTGTGGGAGTGTTGGGGTGGTTTGTGTATATTTCCATACAAGATGGACTGGAGTTTGAAGAACCAGAATATACCACCACAGATTGAATTCTTCATCTTCAAAAATATGTCTGCATGTAGATCCCTACAACCAGCACACTTTATACTATTTAGAAAAAAGGCTTTGAAGATGTAAAAGTTCTTCAGATATTATACTGGAGTACCCGGGTGAGCATGAATGTAATGACAAAAGTCTTTGTTAGAGACAAGTGTATGCATGTGGTAAAGAAGGCACTGTGGGGACAGCCACAGAAATTGGAATGATGTGGCCACAAGCTAATATATCAAGGACTATCAGCATTTCCCAGTAACAGAAGAGGTGGGAGGATTTTCCTCCAAGACCTGCCATGGTCTGTGGTCCTGTTGATACCTCCAGTTTGGATCTTTGTCTCCAGAATTATAGGGACAAATTTCTGTTAAGTACCCAGGCTTCCCCTTATGCGTTGGTTAATCATCACTGACATGGTGCAGAATCCCCTGAGAAGGGAGTCTCAGTAGGATTGTCTAGATTAGGTTTATCTTGAGCTTCTTGATAGATTCTTTGAGATGGGAAGGTCTACCCTGAATATGGGCAGCATCATTTAAGGGGCTGGACCCTGCCTGACCTGAATGGAAGAGGAAAGGTGGAGCTGAATATTAGTATGTGTGAATTCATTTATTCTTTCTTGACGGTGTATATGAACAACTGCTTTAAATTCCTTCTTCCTTGACTCACCACCATGATGGACTGTGAACCAAATAATCCCATTCTCTTTTCAGCTGTGTTGTGAGGGTACTTTTTCACAACATCAGGAAGCAAAGCTAAGACAACCTCTAAACTTCCTACTTCCTCTCAGGAGCTGAGACTTTCTTAGTCACAGCCCCTGTATGTCTATTAGATGATAATGCCAGCCAGGTTGACTTCTTTGCTTTCTCTTTAAGTCAGCCGTTATAGTCTGATACTCTTCCCATTGGAGCTAATTCCCTGCAGAACTGACTTCTCTTAGCAATTGGAGCCTTTTCTTAAATTAATCACTTTTTTTCCAGGCTGTTGGATCACATGTCATTTTTAAAACTTTTTGGGGGGTGTGCAGTGAGGTGCAGAGATGGCTCAGCAGTTAAGTGAACTCTCTGTTCTTGCAGAGGACCCAAGTGCAGTTCTCAGCATTCACTAAGTGGGTTGCTTCCAACCCCCTCTAACTTCAGCTCTAAGGTCTCTGAGAGCCTCTTCTAGCCTCCATGGATGCCCACATACATGTGGCAGGTACTCACACACAGGTACACAAATAAAAAGCCAAATAGGTGTTTAAACTCTCCTTTCTTTTTAAAACTTACACTCAGTGAGTTCTACAGCCGCTCTGATCCTTTCCCTTAAGTCCTATCATCTGCTGGCACGAGTCCTTATTCCTTTTGCTGCTCCCTGCAGTTCATTTCTTCCACGGGTGCACCCCTGCAAGAACTCAAGTGCATATTTGCATTTTAATGGAAGGATAATTGACTTTTGCTGAACATTTGAATAATTAAGATCTCACATTTACAATTTAATCCAGATATTTTATAGCCTCATTTCTCCCAACTTTGGAGAAAGAGATCTTTTTTGACACATTAACCACTGGAGCTATTATACTCTGAACACCCAAGAAATTCGCTGTGGAAATCCTAATTTATAACCCTCCCAATAGCTGGTATTTCATCTTTAGTTTATAGACCAGGACAGTAAGTAACTTACAAAGTCTTATGGTTTTCAGAACAAGTTTAGGCTGAGGAAATTGATTATTCTTGTTTTTTACTGTCTTAGATTTTATATACCTTAAGTTTATTATCTTACACATACATATTTTAAAATATTATTTTTTATTTGGGATGTTTTTAGTATAAATTGCAGAAATAATCTTTATTGAACACTTACTACTGTTCATAGTGTTAGATTTTTCATGTTCATCATCATGCATGCATGATATTTCTAATAGCATCACCAGGTGATCATCAGTTTCTTAGTCACAGACTAAGAACTAAACTTTAGGATAAACGTATTAACCAAATTAAATAGCTAGTTTGATGTAGGATCTTTATTAAAATGCAGATATATCAGAATTCAGAAAGTAAGCTTTTAACCAGTTAATAGTACAATAACTCAAGAACTTCAAAGATATAATGTTATAATGGAGTAGCATATCTTTGCAATAAGTAACCATTATTATAGTAGCATTGGAGGGCCGTTAAGGGAAAGTGGTTTCTTTCCAAGATACCGCAGATAGAGTTAATCCAGTTGGTCTAGCCAATTGTCTGCTAAGGGAGCATATCTCAAGCAGACAGATTTGTATTAGGCCATGGAGTGAATACTTACTCTTCTAATGAGATGAGGCACTTTTCCTCTCAGTCCTCTGCAGTTGCTACTGGAGCCACCACCATGGAGTTGTGTTAATTCCTCAGAAAACATAACCTTTCCCTTTCTTTGATCTGTTTTGCAAGTATGCTTTCCCCCACACTTTGGGTCCCTTTCCTCTTTCCCTGACTCTTCCCCGGCCCTACTTTACCATGAATCGTCTTACCCACCATGTGTCTAACCTCCATTGCTCAGTTGGTGCTGGCTTAACTCAAGCAATATGGTGTTCTCTCTTCCTTTTCTTCATCTTGCTCCTCTGAAGGTGCTAAGATTTATAACTTGTTTGACCCGTGCTTTTTCTTTTAAACTCTAATAAAAATTGTCCTTGAGCTTCCTTCTTTATTATCAAGATTAAGAAACCCCAAAGAGAAACCAGATTTCTCTGGAAATATCTTTTACCCTGGGTGGAACACCCCATAATTTCTGGTAGACTCTTCAAAAGATGCTTTCTGCTCAAACATTGCATAAATCGTTATGGATCAAAATAGATGTAAAATGTTTTATATATAATATACACACACAGGTATATGAATCATTTGAAGCAGTTTTCAATTAAAAAATAAAAAAAGAACTCAAAGACACAAACAATAAAAAAGAGCCAAAATATTGAAGCATGGATGGAAAATAAATGTTGTATACAATAGAAGTTTGTTAAACATCTACTAGATCTGTCCACACATAAATGTTCTTGTTTGTAATTCTCCAGGGATTTGGAGATGACTTAATCTCTCTTACAAGAAACAAAACGTATTTTGCTTCATTCTCTTTATATATCAGACAAATCTGTGGGGTTTTTTTTGGTAGTTAAATCTCAGCAACTTTTCAATTTATAAGATCAGTTTCTACCTTAACATGGATGGATATAAGGAGTCCAGAAGGGTATAAAGAATAGCTTCCTAGGGGTAGAGCTCTGCAAGGTTCAGGCTTACCCATTGCCTGATGATTTGCTTTCCTGTACCTGTGCTATACAAATGAAGTAGCCTGGTGGATGTGATGGAGTGGGTGTCTGGGGATATCTACAGGTATATGACGATAAATCAATGCAAGGTGAGTTGGCCACTCACTCCTTGTCTGTCACTGATGCATTTGCTGTAAAATGACCAGAATGCCAATGGTCAGTGCTTTGACTTTGGTCTGCGGTGTGGCTGTGGATGTGCTAGTGGGTCTGCTCAGTTTTCCTGTTCTTAGCTTGATAGTAGGTCCTATTGCCCCCATAGACAAGGCTCTTGCTTCTGGAGTCCTCATCAACTGTTGAACATACAACTTCCTATCGAAGAAGGGATCTAGTCACACCTTTCTCTCAGCTTTGTTGTTGTCTCCCGAACAGCCCCTTTCTTCATAGATTTGGGGTCCCAGCAAATAACTTAGCAAACCATGAAAAATGCAACTGCTTTTCACACAGTTGTTGAAAACTATTTAGGTGCTGCCACTCTATCCTTAACTGAAGGCTGAATTTAATGTCCTCTGTGGCAACATGAAGATCAGGGGCAATTGATGCTGTACCAAAAAGAAGCCTCCCTTATGCTTTCAAATTTCCTTATATGGCAGGAAATTATATAGTAGGTTGATATTTAGAATTTGCTGGAGTATTTTGTTTTAGGAATCCTGGAGACAAGATGGTTAGCAACACAGTGGGTGGTTGACGGGTT